AACCTCGACTTTTTGAGTACCTCCCAGATTTACCATCGGACGTCGAAATCCTGCTGTCCAGGCACACTCTATCGCCGAGGACCCCTCGCAGGCCAAACTGCAAAGGTGGGTTCTAATCGGACGTCAGCTCTTGCACAAGCCCCGTGACGCGTTGGGTTCTGCGGCCTGTGGGGCCGCAGGGCGCTGCCGATGGTCTAGGATACATTCAAGTGCCACAAGTATTGGCGCCCGGACTTGTGCTGAATCGATCGGTTTCTCCCGGTGACCCAACCCATCACCACCAAAGCAGGTACCCAAAAAGTCGACTTTTGGGGTACCTCCCAGATTTACCATCGGTCTAGGGTACATTCAAGTGCCACAAGTATCGGCGCCCGGACTTGGGCTGAATCGATCGGTTTCTCCCGGCGACCCAACCCATTGCCACCAAAGCAGGTACCCAAAAAGTCGACTCGGCGCCGGGACTTGTGCTGAATCGATCGGTTTCTCCCGGTGACCTAACCCATCACCACCAAAGCAGGTACCCGAAAAGTCGACGTTTTGGGTACCTCCCAGATTTACCATCGGACGTCATCGCTTGCATGAGCCCGGTGATGCTGAACCCTTCTCCCCACAGGATATCATTGCCTAAAAATTCAAACCCATCACCACCACAGCAGGTACCCAAAAAGTCGACTTTTTTGGTACCTCCCAGGTTTACTATACCTGATCTCTTGCACCGATTTACCATCGGACGTCAGCTCTTGCCCGCAGGGCGCTGCCCATGGTCTCGGATACAATCAAGTGCCACAAGTGTCGGCGCCCGGACTTGTGCTGAAAAGATCGGTTTCTCCCGGCGACCCAACCCATTACCACCAAAGCAGCGCCCCAACAGTCGACTCGGCGCCCGGACTTGTGTTGAATCGATCGGTTTCTCCCGATGACCCAACCCATCATCACCAAAGCATGCACGTACCCAAAAAGTCACCTCAGCGCCCCGACATCTGCTGAATCGCGATGACCCAACCCATCATCACCAAAGCAGGTACCCAAAAAGTCGACTTTTTGGGTACCTCCCAGA